GTTACTGATAACGGCAGAGCATTTTAAAAAGTTCGACCTGTTACCAAGGCCACACAGATTGTAGTTAAATTAATATATTTTATGCAATTGGATCAATTGAGGTCCAAAATCGTTATTATAATTACCCGAGGAATTAAAACCTAGCCAGAGTTGCGGATGCCGGTGAATGAACCTGGAGAAAACATCGAAACTGGTAGCGATACGAAGGACGAATAAGGGACGTTGCCTAACAGGAAGTGTATGTGAACATTCAAGGTTAGTTTAAGAAAGTAGTTAAGTTGTTTTATTCCCAACTTTGGGACATGTGTATTCCAATTTATGTTAAAGTTAAATATAAATGTTCATCAAATTGATTTCTCTCTGGGACCCGTTAATTCATTATCATTCAAGATAAAAACAAACAATTACATTTGGCGCTTAACTAGAGGGGCTGGAAAAACATTGAGTTTCAGTCCATGGCCAGGGAGAAGTCAAAATGGTGAAAAATAAGAATAGTAAAAATCAATCTGTTAGTGAAAATCAAACAACAGAGATGGAAGAAAACAATGAAACGAACCAACAAATGGTTACTGAACTAATTCAATCTTTAAATAGTACATTAGGTAATTTGTTTACAAATTTAAATGCTAGCCTTACAAATAACTTGTCAATAATTAATAAGAATCTTGAACAACTAACAGAAACGGTAGAAAAAAATGAATCTCAGAAACAAGTACATGTAAACCAAATCCAACAGGGAATATCTGGGGTTATACCTCAAGTCTCGAATATTGATAATATAGAAAATGCATGCAGTAGCCCCAACAGAGCTTATATTGCCGCGTTTAAAGATTTGGGGGGTACGTTACTATATTTTGCACCTGGGGGGTCAATGCACCCAGTGACGTTTATTAAAAAGCTATCAAAATTATTTAATGAGGCGGGAGTGCCTGACGAAAAAAAAGTGTTTTTTGCAATGCAATGCTTACGGGGTTCGGCACAAGATTGGAGCTCCCTGAAAGAGGAATCTTTCACGGACTACGAGCAGTTTAAACAATTATTTTTTGAGAGATATTGGAGCTCGGATGATGAGAGAGAAGTTTTTAATCGAATCAAATTCGGGACATATAAAAACGGGCCAAAGGCTGATTATTTTTTGAAAATGTTAGGAGAAAGTAAATTGTTATCAAACTCCTTAACGGAAGGAGAACAAATTGAATTGATTATCAACCATTTCTCACCTGAAGTAAGAAAAGCGATTTTAAATTGGGGGGTACGCGATGCTGATAGTATTGAAAAGTTTTTACGGAAACTAGACGTTACGGAGAACGGAGAAGGAAGAAACGAGAGCACCGCAGAAAGATCTAACTGGCGCGAAAATAACCGACAACGAGGTCAACCTTCAAATCGTCAACAATACTCGAATAATCGTTCCTCGAATGCGGGGAATGGTGCGGCGGAACGAGGGATTGTTGGTCACGCGGGAGAGAATACCACTGGGAGCGAAGGTCGAACGCGACACGTCGATGAACGACAAGTGAATACCGTTTTTAATGAGCCGTTCGAAAACATTCTAGAAGATGACCCGATGGAAGAAAGTGAGGGAACTGAGTCTCTTACGGTGTTGCCGACAATCGAAATAGAAATCGAGGGTACTAAGCAATGGGTTTTGGTAGATACGGGAAGCCAGGTGACGTGCATATCCCAAACTTTTGCTAATCAATTATTAGAATTGAATCCGGAGTTACCAAAGTTGCCTACAAATGTTTTAACGGTCTCGGGGGCGTTAGGAAAACAAAAAGATCATGTTAGGGAACAATTATATGTGTCATTTGCTGTAGGAAACAGAATAAAATTTGACTATCCGTGTTTAGTAATTCCGAGTTTGTCGCGCAAAATTATTTTTGGTTGTGACTGGTTGAACAAATTCAATGCGAATTTAGATATTAGAAATCAATGGTTAAAATTATGGATTAATAACGAGGAAATTCAGTTAAAATTTGTAGGTGAACCAATGCCGAGTGTTCATTTGAATATTAAGGAAATATATATCGATGAAGAACCTCAAGCAGTGATATCAACTGCCTATAAAGGACCGAACTTGGGGTTTTCGAAAAATGAAATGTGGGAGGTGGTTGCTAAGGCAGAATTAAAGGAAGATGAGGAGAAGAAAAAACTTTTCCAATTAATTTCTGAGTACGAAACCGTCACGACGTTTCGATTGTTAATATCCACAATCGTCTTCGGGTGATAACTGGACTTATTTCTTCGAGATCTGACTATTTATAGGTCATTCGGGTGCTTTCACCTCTCACCTATCCCCTCTTTCCTCTTTCCGCTTCATTGGTTTTAGCGGGAGATGACCGTTTGGCGGGAGTTGGTCGTTTTTCGCTTGATAAGAGGTTTCCATATGTTACGTATCTCGACGCTAGGTTGACTGAATGCGTTGTTGGACAACATATATGCGGCTTCCTTGAATTTTCTCCTAAACCAGTGTTCCTCTTTGTGGATGATTTCAGCTTGAGCCCGTTTGATATTATGTTGATGAGTCCAAACATGCTCTGCTATTCCGGATTTGCTGGTTTCTCCTCAGCAATGCGAACTTTCAATGGTCTCTTAGTTTCACCGATGTATGATTCTCCGCACTCGCAGGGTATCCGGTAAATGCAACTCTTGGAATCGCAGTCCGCATTTGGTGGCCTGGTTTTTGTGAGGCTGCTACGGATAATGTTCTCAGATCTGAAGCAGGTCCTGATGGTATACTTGGACCCGATCCTTCTTATCCTTTCCGATAATCCTCTGATGTAGGAAAGTACAAGTACTGGTTGTGGCGGCTTCTCTTCCTCATGGAGCTCTTGCTGTCTCCTAGCTATGTCCTGTTCTACCATCACTCTGGAGTAACCATTCCGTTGAAGGTCATTTTTGATGATGCCTATTTCTTTTTCGAGACATTAATTTGTATTACAGAGCTTGAAAGCACGGTCTAGTAGAGTCTTGATGATTCCTCCCTTAGTCGATTGATGGTGGTTGGATTTCTGGTTCAGATACTGTCCTATGTGAGTGGGTTTTCGATATACAGATGTTTCCCACTCAGTGTCGGTTCTCTTCACCAATACGTCTAAGAAACACAATTCGTTGTGGACTTCCTTCTCCATTGTGAAAGTGATGGAAGGATTTACGTTGTTGATGTGCTTCAGGAAAATGTCTAGTTCTGCATTCCCATGGTTCCATATTATGAAGGTGTCGTCTACGTATCTCACCCAGACTCGAGGCTTCTTGTGGGCTTCTTCAATGGCCAGAGTTTCAAACCACTCCATATATATATTAGCTTCAATCGGTGAAAGTGGCAATCCCATTGGCAGTCCCTCATCTTGCGTAAAAAATTCGTCTTTCAGTTAGAAGTAGCAGTTTCGTACACAGCATCCTAGTAATTCCATTCATATTATATTAGACAATGGAAGTCCGAATTGATGAAATGCAACAGATCTGTCAACAGAAATCTGCTATTATATACCAACGAAGTAAATAACTCCTCAGAAAATAAGGTTCAACTTGGCACAATATTCATGGATTTCAGCAAGGCCTTCGACAGAGTGGACCATGGTGTTTTGCTACAAAAGTTATATCGATTTGGACTTTCCGATAATATCATCTTTTTAGGAGCTATCTTCAGGTTCGGTATTTTGTGTTTAGGCATGATGAAAATACCTTAGAAAAATTCAATGCTTCTTCAAGGGTACCCCAAGGTTCAAATTTTGGGCCCTTGTTCTTTTTGTTATTCATTAATCATTAATGACTTGCCAGATGATATCGAGCACTCAAAAAATCTGCTTTTTGCCGATTATGTGAGGTTAGATCAGTCGAGTTTGCTCCACCCTACAGAAAGATTTGAACAGATACCGTTGAAATATGAAATA